CCACTGCAGCGGGCCCGGGTTCCATCTCTATTCAGGGAACTAAGATTCTGCATGCCGTGAGGTGCAAGCAAAAAAAAAAAAATGTACTTAGATGTCACACCCATTCCCACTTCCTACTATGCTTGCATGTTACCAATCAGAGAAACTACTCTCTACTTTTACAGTAACATACAAAATATATAACAAGTGAGAAATATGTCTTATGAAAATTTCTTATTGTAATAAGAATATATTCAACAATGAATAAACACTTGGCTCTATGAGGATAGTTATTGTTTAAAATTACATAAAGCCTAGCTTCCATCCTATCTACCACATGCAACAATGAAGAAAGAAAAAAGAGGAACTTCCCTGTTAGCACAGTGGTTAAGAATCCGCCTGCCAATGCAGGGGACACAGGTTCAAGCCCTGGTCCGGGAAGATACCACATGCCGTGGAGCAACTAAGCCCATGCACCACAACTACTGAGCCTGCGCTCTAGAGCCCGTGAGCAACAACTACTGAGCTCACGAGCCACAACTAAGGAAGCCTGCGAGCCTAGAGGCCACGCTCCGCAACAAGAGAAGCCACCACAATGAGAAGCCAGTGCACCGCAACGAAGAGTAGCCCCCGTTCGCCGCAACTAGAAAAAGCCCACGTGCAGCAGCGAAGACCCAACGCAGCCAAAAATAAATAAATAAATTTTAAACAAATACAAAAGAGGGCTTCCCTGGTGGCGCAGTGGTTGAGAGTCCGCCTGCCGATGCAGGGGACGCGGGTTCATGCCCCGGTCCGGGAAGATGCCACATGCCACGGAGCGGCTGGGCCCATGAGCCATGGCCGCTGAGCCTGCATGTCAGGAGCCTGTGCTCCGCAACGGGAGAGGCCACAACAGTGAGAGGCCCGCGTACCGCCAAAAAACAAACAAACAAAGAAGCAGCACAAATATTAAAAAGAAAGAAAAAGATTCAAGATGATAGAGGACTGTGCTCTCTGCAGAATAAATCTAGGTTATACGTCAAAGTATTTGTTTTACTTATAGAAACAGTACAGATAGTAAGCTTAGCTAATTAAAAATATAACGTACATGTCATAACTTGTTTGGTTAGTTGTCTATAATATTTTTAAATATATATCTTAATACTAACAGTTTTAAGAGATTTTTTAAAACATAAGCTGTTTCTCTAGATTAGTTCATGAAGTAAATTACGTAATGCATATACTTTAGTAATATCCAAATATGTACTTGTTAATTAGAACTTTGTACTTTGCTAATTAGAACTGGTTGATTCCTTAAAAAATTTGACCCACTACAATCAACCCATTGGTAAAGAATAAGAGAAGAGGAAGGAGGGAGGGAGGAAAAAAGAGGAGGGAAGGAAGCAGGGAAGGAAATAAATTATTTCTCATAAAGTATGGTTTTCAATAATGTATCGGCAATTTTTGTAACTTCCTTTAAAGGTAGGAACTTTGTTAAAAAACTCAGTCTGTTGGGTTTAGAAATCTTAAGTTCACCCTGCTTAGTTGTTATATCTAGAATATCAATGCCTTTCCTCCTCCTCCTTCCCAGATACCTTTTCATCCCTCTCTTTCTCTCTCCCTTTCCTCTCTCCCTTCCCTCTCTTCCTCTTGTCTCCGTCTCTCTCTCTCTCTCACACACACACACATACACACACACACACACAATGTGTTTAATTCAATTACTAGTTTAAAATAAGTCCAAAAGGGACACTAACTAGAGCACAATAAATGGTAGAAAGAATAAAAATACACCCCAAGCTAAATAAGTCAAAGAGACGTATCCTTTACTGGCTACATTCCCCCAAATCATTCTTGTTCCAAATAAACCAATTGTGTCAGGTCTGGACAGGTGTAGCTCCAAAATCTCAAGGAGAGTTTACTTCTCTCAGTGATATTATGGAGGAGGGCAGGAGAAGGAAACAAGCCCAGTCTTAAATTACAGCATACAAAGGGGCATTTCTAGGTGTTTTCAGAGGTTTTGCATATCATTGTCCTTCTCTACGGACAGCAGCTGGATAAAGAATCTCACTGATTATAAGTTTCCTCAATACACCTTCCAAATCCACAGGTAGGATTAAACATCATGCAGAGCTACGTTGCACCTTAACCTTCACACTAAGCTTTAGTTTCAGACTGTAGCAACTCACATAAATGGTCAACATTTGGATCTATACTAGTCCACCACAGTAGAGTTCAAAGGTATTGATACACATTTTAGTTTAAAACTCTTTAAAAAACTCCTTTATAGTTGATCTGGTCTTCTATAAAATGTCAAAAAACAAAAAACACCAGCTTCTCTAGGAGCCTTAGGTGAACAAGGCTCACCTGGGGTAGCTCTAGGCTAAAGTGAATCCCAAGGTGTGACCTATAATAAACTATACTTCAGGAACCTTCCAGATCTTGATCAGTGGGGCTGGGGAGTGAGGTGTTTACCTCATTTGCAGAATTTGCCAATCATGTTACTGGATAATGTATACATCTGGAAAAGCACAACAGTTACCAAAGTGGTGCTTTATCACAAAAGTGAAGTTTCCACTAGAGTAAACCCAAACATGAAAGCTATTTTAAATAAAAGATAAATAATAAATCTATAATTGCATTCACTACAAACAATTTTATCTTTTACAACTATGTAATTTGCTTGATAAATATTAAATCCATGAGGAAGAGCTGCACTGTACAGGTTTCTTTTTTAAAGACTGTGTAAAAGTAACCTTTAACAAGCTAAGAAAGCAAGCTACAGAAAATCCCAAATCTGTGGTATCAAATTTACGCTGATTACAAATGGTGATTTATACCACCTGATTTAGGAAACCATAAATGTCTATAATTAAATACAACAGTCCTACTTGGTTTTCATTTAGTAAAATAATATTACTGAATGATGTACCACAGAAAAGGCATCATTACAATAACTACATCCCAAGCAAAATTCTACTCTCAAATGGACTACAATTTAAACTGCAAATAGCAGAACCAACAAAAAGGAGAAACATATACAGAAAGCCTCATAGCCCACCTTTCTTCTTGACTGGCATTCTTGGGCCTTTCCACTGACACAGGATTCAAGATCTCTTTTCAGGTCTCAACTTGATCCACCTGGATGGAGGCCAAGAGCCAGGTAACTGTTGCAAACCACTTCACTGTTTGAAATCCAGGCTGTCTTCTCTTTCAAAGAAAGAAAAAATGATGTATTTTTTCCACTAACTTTGACAGTGCCCACGGAGTTTAAAGAAAAATAGCTTTTGAGTTTTTCAATGTTTATAAAACATTTATTCTGTTTAAAAAGAAAATTATTGTAAGCATAGAAAACATTATTAAAACTCCTCTTCAGGCAGCAACATTTTTGGAGTTCGATGACTAACTCAATTAAGGCACAAACCAAATTTACACAGTTGTCTCATTACTCAATACATGATCAAATTCAAAGATGAACTGGTTGATGATAAAAATCCTCAATTCTTTAGAGAAAAATTTAAAACCCTCACCCCCCAAAAATACTTTTAAAAACCTCTTTGACTCTAGTATCTAAAAAGGTGGGTGAGTTTGGACAGTTTTCTGGGGCAGAACACAGACTGAAAGGCCCCTTTCTATTCACTGGACCAGAAGTTCCGGATCTCACCCCCTCAGTAAGACAGGATCCAGCTTGCTGTCACTTTCATTTTTTTTCTTCTGTGCTCTCCAAGCCCCTCAGGCTCGATCCTTAATGCCCCCTCTGATTCTGATCCTCCCACGTATTAACCGAGAGGATTGAAAAGAAGGAAAGCAATCCCCTGGCATGGAGACATTAAAGTGACAGTGCTACTCAATGGGCACTTGATGCAGGATGAGTTGGCGAAGATTTCTTCACACTGGAGTCATTCACATCATGCCGTCTCTTCGCATCCAAGCAGCTCCCTATCCGTCGAGGAAAAACACTGAGACTCTTCGAGACAAGTCAAACCTTCCCCCAAAGGTGTTTTCTGAGACGCTGTAGTAGTATTAGGCATGTGAGCATAAGCTGTGCAAACAGTTCGCGGTTTCCTAAATGAGAGAGTTCGGCCGCTTGGCTTCCACATCCACCCTTTTTCCCTCAGTCTCTCTCCAAACTACCCACCTTCCTTTTGCAGAAAAAAACAAATCTCTCTGCTACCGCCGGCCACCCCTGCCCACACCCCGTTCTTATATAGAAGAGCACAGAAATGTCCTGCACCCTCCACGCGATGAAGTGTTTCCTCAGGCAGGAGAAACAGCAGCACTAGAAATTATATAACTCTCGATTTTGGCTTCTCTAAGACATGGAGACTGGAGGGTCGGGGGGTGCTGGTCTGGGATATACTGCTGGGCACTGAACGCGCACAAAAGGACGCCAGGCGTCCTCGTAGGGCCCCCAACCCGAAACACCGGCTGGTAAGGGGGGGTCTTCTCGGGGAGGGGGGGGCAAAATTCTCTCCGGTCTCTTTCCAAGCGAGGAGAAAGGATAGAATATGAGGGGACTAAAGACTGAGAAGGGGAGTCTGACGGCTGTGAGGGGAGGAGGCTAGTCGGGGCTGCTCTGGCAGCCGGTTGGGGGCTCTAGGGAGGAGGTGCCCGAGAAGCCGGAGCCTTAACACACGGGCCATGCCAGAGGGGCAAGCACCCTGAAGGAATGAAAGGGGCTGGGCAGCTCGGCCCCAGCTAACGGAGGTGCCCTGAAGAGAGGAAAACGCGCAGCGACATCCCTGCGCTCGGAACGCCCCACGTTCCCCTCAGGAGGCGAGAAGAGGGAGCTAGGGTAACAAATTAAAGAGAAGAGGATACGGGCCTGGCAGGGGGCGGGCCCATGGGAGTCTGGACCTCCTGGAAGCCAATGAGCGGCTCCCGTTTCTGGAAGCCGGGCCCAATCACAGCCAGGATGGAGGGCGCGGCTTTTGACTGGGTCGGGGCGGGCCAGGGATGAGGGCTAGAGGCGTGAGCCCGCACCACTTCCCGCCCCGGGAGTTCTGGGTCCCCGCCCACCAGTAGTCACGTGAGTTTCCAAAATGGCGGCGCTCGGGCGTGAGTCTGGGGCCGACCGGAGGGCTGCAGGTGTGGTGCCGGTGGGAGTTGGGGAAGCGTCCAAGGTAGGCGGAAACCCAGGGTGGTATGGGTGGTGATTTCTGCAGCCTCAAGTGCTGCCGCACTTTTCTGAAATGATGCGCGTAAAAGGGATTTCAAGTCTAAAGAGAACAGCTCCCAAGTCCATGCAGGGCGCAATTAAATCCCTGGTTGCTATGAAAAGAGGTGGAGAGAAAGTAGGAGACCTAAAGGTTAGTCCTGATTGATGTAGCCTGTTTTCTCTTGACTCGGGGCGTTTGCATTTTAAATTTCCTGCCATTTTGTCCTGACCTCTGCCTGGGTTATGGGTTCTGAGGAGATGACTACATTTTGCTTATCCGGGGGGCTTTCAAATACCAGGTGAATGTCTGAGCAAATGATGAGTGAATGTTGAATAAAATTCTGAAGGTCAAGTGAAATAATACACATAAAAGCACTACAAAACCATAAAATATTACTGGTATAATCGTGGTGACCAGCTGAGTGGCCTTGAACTAGTTACTATTTAGATAAAATGTTAGCTATAGAGAAATTTTTACATTTCAGTAATTGTAAAAATTCTATCAGGAGGTTATCAGTATATTTCTCTGCTTTAATAACTGCCTTACAAAAACTATGCACTCAATAAATATTTGCTGTCCTGTTTCAGTATTTTAGGATCATAATCCTGGATATCTGTGTTTCCTATATATTGAGGTGTAGACGAGGTAGGAGGTTGGTACAAGGGATTGCCTGAAAGTTTTCTTTATGAGGAATAAGGGACTTCAGTGAATTGGATGACAGCACAACGAAAGGTTTTCCCAAGTTTCTGGTTAATTGTCATGTTACTGACATCTGCCTTCATGTACACTAGAGGGATTAGATATAGAATCTCCCTTAGATATTGCTATCTTGTCTCTTCCATTTGCCATTTAGATGTCAGAGAGAGGCAAAAGATTAAATCTAGTCTTTGAAAAATTGTAATTTATAAAATATTTTACTTTTTTTTCTGTCCTCAGATATTTTAAAGAAAAAGAACTGGCTTGAGTACAGTTCTTCAGTGATGCAGGGAAAGAAACTAGTCCATTATTACCCATTGTTTAATACCATATGAAGATTCAAAAGAGCCTATACCTTCAGGATGTTGATACCATGGATGAATTGGCCTTTCATTAGTTAGGGTTAGGGTTGGAACATATCACTTATTCAGGAAATGAATATTACAGTGATGTTCAACATGTGTCCATTGACTACCAGCATCAGAATCACTTGGTGTTATTAAAATGCAGATTTCTAGATTTTACTCCTGTTGAATCCAGATATCTCAATAGAGAGCTCAAGAGACTGCATTTCAGATAAACTCGTGATTCCTGTGCACATGAAAAGTTGAGAATCTTACTAAGTCTCTTTTATGTCTTTTATGCTTAACCCTCTCCGATTCTCTTGCTCAGGACTCCTAAAATTTGAGACTTATTAGTCTATGCCCTTGACTATAAATGTTGTTAAGATGGAGAATCATATAAATTGTGAAAGGCATAGATTTAATCTATTCATTGGCTAATCTGGAATCCCATAATGCCAGTATGGTAAAAGATGTAACAAATATTAAGACGTTTCACAGAAATATGAGAGTCTTACCCAGAGCAAAATATTCAGAAGGGATCCTTTCTGAGGGTCCAGTTTTGTTTTGTTTTTCTCAACTACTGGTTTCTGTTAAGATGCTACTGGCCAAACCTCACGGTCCCTTGACATTTGCAACTGTCTATTCATACATCACACTTGGGACACAGGAACTTTCCAATCCTGGAGCCCAGTGCCATAGGTCCAGGCTCCCTGATATACTGCATAGCAATTTCCAGCAAAGGCCCTACTTCTGCCTCAGTAGGGATCTGGATATATATACCTTATATAATCCAAGGTAACCATGATCCACTGCCTCTTCCTAGGCTGGAATGTGTCCCTCTTTCTGATGTTGTCTCTCGATATTCTCCAAGGCAATCCTTGTTCTCTCCTACCTCTCCAGGAAAGTCAACATAATCTCCAAAAGCTCAGGCTTTCTTGAGACAGAGGATAAAGATAGTGGTCAACAAGTAGCTACCGTTTACTTTCAGCTCTGAAAAAGCTAGAGCATGGAGAACTACAAAGGGCCTGGCTACCTTCAGGGAAAACTGTAAAGAAAACAAAAAATATCTCAATAAATGATCCTTCTACAACAAGTCCTCAGGCAAGTCAGCCTCTCTGAACCTTGTTCGTCTCATCCATAAAGGTAGAGATGACCATTATCCTACCAATTTCTCAAAGTTGTTATGTAAATCAAAAAGCCATCATCTAACAGATAATAAGAGCTCACTAAATAGTGACTAAATCATTAACAAAGTATGTGAAAGCAGATGACAGTACCTGACACTTTTACTAGAGTCTAAATGTTTTTTAATCTGAATCTGTAGAATTTATAAGATTTAATATTAACATCATTAGCTATTATGGTTCTGGATTTTTGTGTTTTCCAGGACATCAAGATGCCAACATACATATACGGTCAGTCCAGTCCTTCTCTAGGAGACGCAAAACTCAGAAAACCAATGGTCATCGAAATCATAGAAAAAAAATTTGAATATCTTAGAAAAGAAAAGTAAGAAACTCACCTAGACTGAAAGTCAGTAACTTTATTTGCAGATCTTCTGTATTGCCATTGTTTCTAGGTATCTAATATCCTGTTAACTTTATTGAGTTGGTTATAAAGAAAGCTTATTTTAAAAAAAGAACTGGAGGGAACATGAGCAGATGAAAATAGTGGTTTGTTGGAATACTGAGACTGGATAATTTCTTTTCTCTCTTGAAATTGTGTGTTTCTAAAATTGTTGAAATGTTATTTGTGCAATAAACATATTTTAATTAAAAGTAATTAGAAGAACACCATTTTGAGGGCTACTTATATTAATTATCAATTGTAATTAATTTCAGTTTAGAATTTATTACCTCAACCACAGTGCTGAGCTCAGCAAAAGGGAATACAGATTCCATGATGTACATATAGTCTCACATTACTGTTCTGACTTTTAGGTTAATAGAACTCAAGAATGAAATCAAAGGATGTTGATCTTAAACATTTCTGGATTTAGGTATCAGTCAGAAAAACTAGATCTTTCAAATTTCTTTGGATGAAGTTTTGGAAATCCTAGACAAATTATTTTAAATATCTGGACTACTTAAGAAATAGTTATTTTCTAGAAGGCCTAACCAAGTGTAAAAAACTTTTTCAAATGACCTTAAGCAAATTAATTCTTTTAGTAGAAAGAACAGTATTCTTGGATTTAGATAGTTCATAAAATTTGGCTACATAAAATTTGGCTACATGAATATGAACATATTCATATTCATATTTATTTGTGGCCAAAACTTATTCTCTCTTTAAAAGAGCTCCATCTTAGAACCACTCTATTCTCAGAAAGATAATTATATCGTTCTCTCATTAGAATGCAAGTTCCATGAGGGGTGGAATTTTTTTTCTTTTTTCTTTTTTTTTTTCCACTGTTCACTGCCCCACCCTCAGCACAAAGAAAATACCTTTCTTTGTATAGTACTGAGCATAGTAAATGCTCAAGAAAAATTTGATGTTGAGTAAATATGTAATAACAAACACAGGAAAGGATATATCTATTAGAAGAATATTATGTTGAACTTAATTCTTCACTTTGTTTTTCCAATTAGGACTTTAAATATATATGGAACAGTGACCTTTGGAACAACAGCTGGTTTCTCTGGAATATTGGCAAACTTAATTTTCAGACATTGCTTCAAGGTTAAACATGATGCTTTGAAGACATATGCATCATTGACTACACTTCCATTTTTGTCTACCATAGTTTCTTGTGAGCTTCTTGTAAGACATGCTTTGTATTCAGGTAAATTTAAATTCATTAACATATAATGTGTTTATATCTAAGTAGAATTACTCACTAACATATACTGTTGCTACTGCTGATAATAGTCCCTTACATTTGTGTATTTCTTTACCACTAACAAAGTACCTTCACATATATTGTCCTGTTTCATCCCCACAACAATCCTAATCAGCCAGGGCAAGTAGTATTGTGTCTTTTCTTTACAGGTAAGAAACTAAGCTGAGACATGTTCAAGTACACTAAGAAGCAGCATGATATACTGGGAAAAAAGGAGGATTTGGTATACTACATATTTCACTTAAGTTTTGTGACACTGGGCAAGTCATTTAATCTCTGAGACTCAGTTGTCTTATCTATGAATTAGGACAAATAGTACTTACCTCACAGGATTGTTTTTAAGAATTAAGATACTGTATGTTGAATGTCTAACATAGTATCTGGCATATTATGGGCTTCTAATGTTATTTCCTACCTCCTCCCCTTACCTTAAGTTTCACAACTAGTAATTGATGGAACCTCTGACCCCTGTTCATCAGGTCCCTGCTTAAATACCTTTTCCCCAGGGAAACCTCTGATTCCCTCAGGTTAAGTTTCTAGATACATTCTCTATTCATTTTACCTTCAAAGCATATGCACACTTAAGATTATTTGTTTAAATATTTGTCTAATGTATTTCTTTCTTAGTAAACGGACCTGAAGGTCAGAGATTGGATCTCTTCTGTGTAATACTGTATCCCTAGCACATGCCTGACACATAGACAATATAAATGTACTACCCTAGAATCCAGATATCTGGTCTGCTAGTTTAATATTCTTCACTATGAAATTACTTCTTTAACAGCCATATAAGTAAGAGGTAACTTATCTTTATGTGAAGTATAATAAAAGCAGTTTTTAAATGTGATACATTTAGTCTATTGTGCCATAGACTGAATTTCTAATATTCTTTCTACTATTTTGCTATGCATGAGGACAATGCAAATCACTACTGTATGAGGACCCAAGACTCTTAATAGTTCTTATCCTGAGTTTTAAAGGGAGATCAAATTTACTTTTGTTTTCCAGGTAATATAAGCCGGGAAAATTGTGTTCTGAGAAGTTCACTGATTGGCATAGTGTGTGGTGTTTTATATCCCATTGCTTTAGCTTTTTCTAAAAATGGACGTCTGGCAGTCAAGTAAGTCCATCTTTTTGTTCCGTTTCTTCCTTTCTTCCCTTTTTTTTTAAAAAAAATTATTTATTTAATTTATTTATTTTTGGCTGCTTGGGGGTTTTCTCTAGTTGAGGCAAGCAGGGGCTACTCTTGGTTGTGGTGTGTGCATGGGCTTCTCATTGTGGTGGCTTCTCTTGTTGCAGAGCACCGGCTCTAGGCACACAGGCTTCAGTAGTTGTGGCACGTGGGCTCAGCAGTTGTGGCTCGTGGGCTCCAGAGCGCATGCTCAGTAGTTGTGGTGCACAAGCCTGGTTGCTCCGCAACATGTGGGACCTTCCAGTACCAGGGCTTGAACCTGTGTCCCCTGCATTGGCAGGTGGATTCTTAACCACTGCGCCACCAGGGAATCCCCCCCTTTTTTTTTTAATGTTAATAAACTCTCCTTATTCTTTAGCTGCCAGTGACACATTTTCATCAAAATATCATAGTTTCATATTTCAAATAGCTAATTTTAACGTTTTTTGCTATCTACATGAAAGATCTAGAATAGAAATGATCAGTTTAGGAGACATCAACAAATTTTTTATAGAATTTACTTCCAGAGGAAGTAATTAATCCTTTTTTGTTTTTAGGTATCATACTGTTCCACTGCCACCAAAAGGAAGGGTTTTACTTTACTGGCTGCTGCTTTGTCAAACAGAGATAAAAGCAATGGTGATTCCTCTTATCCTTCAGACAGCCCTTGGAATATATCATGGTCTACAGCATTATGCAATATTTGAAAGTACACTTGAGAAAACTGTACATGAAGATTAACCAAAGAATGAATGGATACTAAATCAGTACAGTGGACTTTTTTATGATGAGGACTTAGGCACTGCTGAAAGAGTTAAAAGTAATTCTGGATAGACAATTAGTTTCTTTTCCTTTTGCCTGGTGTATAGTAGGTGCTCAGTAAATATTCAGTAATTAAATAAATGTAGGTTTCGTCTCTGTTTTGTCATTGTATGTGGAAACGGATTTGAGGCCTCAAGGTCTGATCTATACATTTATGTATGTATTCATTCACAAACATTTATTGAGCACCTGCTAGGTCTCAGACATTGTGTTACATATAGTAAGAAATCATCCTTATCCAGAAAGAACTCACAATTAGAAATGTGAACACATAGCATGAGAGGGTTTGAGAGATATACACATAATTCTTTGGGCACACTGAGGGTGTGGCTGTTAACTACTTGTGCAGAAGGGAAAGCTATGGGGGGAAAGTGACATTTGTCCTAGATTTTGAAGGGGAAGTTGAAAGTTCACAAGAAAGCAATATAGAAATAACGTAACAGCCCATTCCTCTACTCTAAACTCGAATTCAGTACACTTACTAGCTCTTATCATTGACAAATTATCTTCACTGTGCTATTTAAAGAACATTTATTGAATGCCTATTTGCTATGCATTAATATAGGCACCAGGGGTACGAAAATTCAGTCACTGCCCTCAAGAAGCATAAAATCTAAAGAAAGAGATCACAGCATGCTTCTTTAAGTCTGCTAGAGCATTCTTGAGCTACATGTTTAGTTAGGGAAACAGGAGAGGAAATGAATGCTGTCTGATGAAAAGAATAAGACACAGAATGGAACCCCGTAACTCATTCTCCTTGTCTTAATCATATTCATCTTGAGATTTAAAGATTTGGTCATCTGAGGCCCCAAGCAACACAAAACAGAAATGGAAGTCTTAACGAGGTGCTTTACAGCATCATATATAACAAAATGAAATACATACACTCTTACTAATAAAAAATGGTTAGTAAGCTGTTCAGCTTTGTATTCTCAGAATAATTCATGATACTTGAAACTGAGGAAAGGGCAGGCAATTGGGGGAAGAGAGGAAACCAAGTCAAATAGATAACAAGATCAATGGTATTAATATTAACTCTTAAACAATTATTATTATACAATTATACAAGTACATGAATACCTTCCTATTGTGAGATATACAAATGATCCAGAAGTATATAGAGCGTGACTTGAAAGTCCCCCTTCACTCCCACTCCATCCTATTTCTACTCCATTCTCCAGAGGCAACCATCATCAAGTTAGTACATCTTTTTCCTTGTAGTATTCTTTTGTAACTTACATATTTTTTTAATAAATGGTATTATCCATACATATACTGGAAATTAATTTTCCCTTCAATATATGTCTTGGAGACCTTTCTGACTCACTACGTGTAGGTCTAACGTGTTCTTTTTGGTGACTGAAAAACATTCTTGGTGATTCTAGTATTCACATAGGTGATCCTTCCAATACCCTGGTCTCTATCCTACCACTTATTCCCATGGTCATACTGCAGACCTGTGCTGTCCAATATAGTAGTCATTAGCCATGTGTGGCTCCTGAGCATTTGAAATGTGAGTAGTCTAAATTGAGATATGTAGTAAGTATAAAATACACATTAAGTTTTAAAGATTTACTATGTGAAAAAGAATATAAAACATCTCGATATTTTGATTACATGTTGAAATGTTACTCTTTGATATATTGGATTAAATAAAATACATTAAAATTAATTTTACCTGCTTTTTAAAATCTGGCTACTATGAAATTTTAAGTTATATACACAGCACATATTTTTATTGGACTGTGTTGCCCTAGACCTTGTCATTATCAGTAAATTGAAATTCTTCACATTCTCAATTGTGAAATCCCGTATTCTGATCACTACCTCCTGTCCTTCCTGTTTATTCCTTCTCATACCGCAATCCAGCATTACTTCAGCTCTACCAGAATCTATAATCCATCAATCCCACTACCTTTTCACTGTCTCTCACCCCCCTCACATCCTTACCATCTCCAGCTTCAGTCACATCAGTCTTTTTAAAGTTTGCCAATATCAAGGAGAAAAAAACATAAAAATGAATCTAGCTAAGGTTGATTTTGAAATAAAGATATTTGCCTCTTGTTTTATGAATTTTCTGTTCATGTCTTTGGCACATTTGATTTGTAGATCAAATAAATTCTCTGTAAATTCTGGGTATTTTGTTTCTTCATATGGTGAGATAGTAATCTGAGAAATACAGCAAGGTTGATTTAGGTTCACCTCCCTTGCCACCTGAAAGCAGGAGAGATCTGTATCTTACTCCATGACTTCAATTTGCCTTTTTTACAATAGAAAAAGCAGGGAAGTCTATCAATGTTTTCCACTGGCTTTGGAAGCAGTACTTGTCAAAGTGGCTGTAAGAGGCCTGAAAGGAGAAATTAGGGAAAGCTTGATCTGGGCCTGATCCCAAAGGTGAAGCTAGGTGAACCACAGTGAAGAAAGGCAGCAAGTCACAAGAGGCAAGATAGTTCAGAGGTGTGAAGTACAGCCTGGAGCTCCACTATCAAAGTTCAAATCCTAGCCTTACTACTTACCAACGGGATAACTTTGAACAAGCTATTTCACCTCTCTGCACCTCACATTCCTCATCTGTAGACTGAGAAAGATTGTACTTACCTCATAGTGTTGTCAGCACTAAATGAGTTAATACATGTAAATCAAAACAGTGGCCAACTCACAGGGAGTCTGTATATGTTACTGCCATTACTGTTGTTCCTGTTGCTCTTACTGCATGCCAGCTAGCACAGTCCTTTCCCTAGCCTGTAGTTATCTGTTGAGCATTTTTCTAGGAAAGATTAGAAAGAAGCACAGCAAAGAAAATTCACAAGATATCTTTCACTTGAATAAATACATACTCATTTATTCAACTAATACTGATTCAAGATAAAGCATATGAAAGACACTGTATACCACACATTGGGCAATCTACCTAACCTTTCTGACCATGTTTCCTCTTAAAACATAGTAATAACTGCTTTGCAGTGAGGTTATAGAAATGGAACCATACCATACCTGGCCTATAGGAGGTGCTCAATAAATGTGTTTACATTGCCTGTTTTCCCCGATGTTCTCCCTGAGTTATATGTAATGACTAATATATGGTCCCAACTATGGTAACTTACCTTCTCTCTTGGCTTTTCCCCTGCATTTTCTCCAACTGCCTTAGCCATGTGATTATCCCCCTGCTTTTGTATTTACTGCATCATATTGCATTACTTGCTATGTATTGTATCATATTGATTTTCTTCCTGCCTTTGTACAATTATATTGTCTTGTGTAAACTATTCAGTATTTGAATTTCCAACTTTAAGCAATAATCTAATAATGAAGAAATGGTATTCTACAGATGTGGCTGATTTCATAGAACTTGTTCACTTACATTCCTAAGCCTCATTTAAAAAAAAAGATTTTCCAAAGATACATAACCCATATTCCCCTATCTTCATCATTTTATACCCACAAAGACAGTCACGCTAACATTAATAAAAAGAATAATTGAATCTTGGTATCCCTGAGTCCCACCAGCTTCACTAAAGTAATGACCCCCAAAAGCCTCCCCAAGATTAGACATAGCAGAAGAGTAGTAAACTTAAAGACACAATATCAACTTCAAAGTAAAACTGAAAAAAAAAACCTAACATAGTATTAGTGAGTAGCCTTATATACCTGTAATTTAAGTCAACTAAGGAAGGGATGAGCAGAAGATTTTTTTTGAAATACCAATGGCTGAAAATTTTCCAGATTTGATGAAATGTATAAAACAAAAGATTCACAGATTTCCAGTCCACGGTGGTAATACAAGAGACCCCTAAACTCATCTCCTCCCACAAACACCGAATCTACAGCTATACACAGAGCAATTCCTTCTGAAAGAAATCCAGAAACTAGCTGAGCAACTCCTACACATCAGGCAAACAAGGAAATATCCAGACCAAAATAGGTAGGAAAGGCTGAGAAACACTCTTGCCATAAGCCCCCCTGCCAGCTCAGCAACATACTCTCACGAGGAAACTTGAAAATCCCAGTTTCTCCCACGCTGTTGGCCACACACCTTCTAGGTGTCTGCTCCTCTAGTGACATGGGGCCGGGAGATGCTCTCCTCAGCTTTGCCTGGGTGGGCAAGTCAGGCTCTAGGGCCTGCAGAAATCCTCGTTTGAGGGTCTCACTCACATCCTCGGTCAGAGTGCTACAGCTGAGCAGAGCGGCTGCTTGGGACTACTGCTCAGGTGCTGCAGAAAGCCTTCTTGGAATCTGACATGTTATTACTTTCGGACCATTGGCCAGCTGCTCCTGACTTAGCCACATGAAGGCTCAGACTATCCCAGTCTCTGAACTGAAGAGAACCAACGCTATTAGCATATCTCTCACCACCATGAACGCAAGGTATTTCAATGAAGAGTATCAGGAGGACATCTACAAGTCCCAGACTGGCATGTACAAGTTCTGAGGAATGATGGAATAACCCAATGTATCTGGGTGACCTTTGCAGACAGCTGAGACAGAGCTACAACAGGGCAGTGGCTGACACACAACTCAAAGCACATCTTTTCCAGCCGTGTGGCTGACAGGGTCTTGGTGGTCTGGCCGGCTGTCACGACTGAGCCTCTGATGTGGGAGAGCCGAATTCAGGACACTGGACCACCAGAGACCTCCTGGCCCCATGTAATATCAATTGGCGAGAGCTCTCCCAGAGATCTCCGTCTCAATGCTAAGACCCAGCTCCACTCAACGACCACCAAGCTCCAGTGCTGGACACCCCATGCCAAACAACTAGCAAGACAGGAACACAACCCCACCCCTTAGCATAGAGGCTGCCTAAAATCATAATAAGTTCACAGACACTCCAAAACACACCACCAGATATGGTCCTGCCCACCAGAAAGACAAGATCCAGCCTCATCCACCAGAACACATGAACCAGTCCCCTCCACCAGGAA